AAAACAAAAAACCCCCACAACTACAGGAAGTTATAAAAAGAGAAACAATACGAGTGTGTCTTTTACCTTTGCCCCAAATTACATTGTCTAAGAGTGAAATAAAAAAATTGAATTCTTAGATAGGGCATGACTTTCCCTTTTAGATGTTCCCTTTAGAAATTAGGAAACTGACACACAAGTTAGATAATTTACCTTAGTCAAGAGCACTCAGATTAAACCAAGTTTATATACACACTGTCAAATTTATATTCTTTAACTTACTTGCTATTTAACAAATAAGTTAAATTATCAAAGAATAAATAATAATCCCCTGTATTGTCCCAGGATTATTATTGTTCAGGATTATTGTTAAGATCAAGTATCATATTCCAATATCTACCCTAGGTGTAAAGTTCAGTATTACAGAAACACAAACAAGTTCCTCTCTTTTTTTTGGTACCAGGAGTCTAACTCGGGACCTTGAGCTTGCAAGGCAGGCGATGAATCCCTGAGCTAAATCCCTGGCCGAGTTCCTCTTTTTAAATTTTGTTTTGTTTTTAAATTTTTATTTTTATTAGTACATGTTTGCACTACATAATAATCACATTATTGTGGGGAGTAGGTACGTGTTCATGACACATCTTAATCCTGTTTACGTCTCCTGCTTCTCGTCCTGCTCCTTCCATCTCAGTACCCACTCCACTTCTGGAAGATCTGTCTCTGTTTTTAATCAGGTTTTTTGTTTTTTTTTTTTATCACCTTTGAGTCTCTCCCTTCACCTTCCCTCTATCTCTTGATCCCTTTCTCATTTGAAAATTATCTCCCTACTTCATGTTATCTATAAGTTACTCTTGATTCTCGCATATTAAAGTTAGAGGGACACTGTTTTGGGTCTTAAATGTTGAAAGAAAAAGAAAAGGTCATTATAGCAATTTATTGAAATTACTTGGCAGTTAAAAACAAAACAAATACAATAAAGGAAAAACAACAAAAAATTGAAAGCATGTTTTATGCCTCTGTCCCTTTGATACTTATGGTAGAAATCCATGAAGCAAAGAGGGGAAATTCAACATTTTGAATTCCTTTTCAAAAAGAAAAAATCCATATCCTGAAAGAAACCTTATTTCTATAAATACAATCAGTATACAGCAATATCACCAATAATATATATTGATAGGATAAATATATAGATTTGTTCATGAAAGAAACTTAAATTAAAATTTTCTGCACTAATAGCATATGAATAATTGCAAAGAATCACATGATTAAGTGCCATGATATTTCAGAATGAAGCAAAAATAGCTTACACTTAGATTCTAGGAATACTGAAAATGCTTACAGCTACTCATTGTTCTAATTGAATTAGATTCAGGTCATTTCAAGAATAAGTTTGACTTTAGAAAAGCAGAGTAATTATGAAATCTGGGTCAAATGAAGTAGTAGTTTAAATTAGAGATCTATAGGGCCTGGGATTTAGCTCAGTGGTTTCGCCGCCTGGTGCGCAAGTGCAAGGATCCGAGTTCAATCCCCGGTACCAAAAAAAAAAATAATAATAATAATTAGAGAGCTATAGACCTATGTATCCAAAATTGTTTTCTGATTGCTAGAGTATCCTTTCAAGGAATACAAAATGGTGAGGAATAGAAAATTGTTCTTCTCCTCAAGATGGTTCTTGGAAAATGCTTCCACCTCTGGAGAGTTTTAACTCAGGCATTATTCACTCTGAAAGTAATTTACACCCAAGATGAATTGGAACATGAGGTTTCCCAATGTGTAGGTCAGCTTGTCATTTATGAATGGGATGTGAACAGACATTTACACATTTTCCTAGAGAAATAGAGCAGAAATAGTAGTTAGGTTGTGAGATTGGCCCACAATACGACATTATGCTGCTGTATTTTCATTATATGCATAAATTATGATTTTTAAAAACAAATACCTATAATCAGAGACCCAGGTTTCAGAGTGAATGAAGAATTTTATTCAACTCTTAGTAAATACCTATCAAGTGTATACTTCATGTGAGGTGCTGATCTTGGTGCAGGGCTATAGTGATCAAGTTTCCTGCCTCCATAAATGACACATTTTGGCAGAGATTCTTTTCTTATGTGTTTGAGAGGGAGGGGGTTACAGGGATAACCAAAAGTAATATGAATTTGGGAATTACATCAACTTTCCTGTCTTCCTGAATCTCCACATCACCAAGACCCTCAATTCACTCAGAAGATTTTAAATCTCTCACTGATGGGCTTGCTCACATTTGCACGAACCACACACTCTTCCACTTTCTAGTTGCTTATATTCGATTCGTTAGACAATGTATCTAACCATATATCCACTTTATTATATCAGAAAACCCAATTATTAAGACAATTCAATTGCACAGGGGAAATGTTAGCATGGACCAATGGAAGCATCACTATTTTGATCATAAAATATTAACTCCCGAATATTAAAATGTAAGCTGCCAGAAAAAAAATTTTTTTTTTTTAGAAAAATTGAGGACTGGTTAGCGTGAAAGTCATGGTGAGAGGTTCTAAATCTAGAAAATCATCCATGGAAAGCATTTTCTCCACTTCCAAAAGTCTCCAAAGATAGACAATCCAAAATCAACTTTCTTAAGGCTTAACCGCTCTTTCTGTTTTAAAGATAGTATTCTTAAGAATTAATCTGATTCCCTTTTTGTTATGGCTTAAATTTATTTTCTCTTCTTTTGTTGTCAATAGATGAATGTTAAATCATTGTCATATTTACTCAAAGAATAAGGGATAACCTGCTCTGTATAATAATCCTGCTTAAGACAAAGGAAAACTGGGTTGGGGATTTAGCTCAGTGGTTCCACAGCCTGCCTCGCAAGCACAAGGACCCGAGTTCAATCTCCAGTATCAAAAAGAAAAAAAAAAAAGATAAAGGAAAAACTGAAACCACAGGCTCAGCTTTGGAAAGATGTGACTTCCTTATTTGCTGAGAATCAAGTATAAAATCAATTGTACTTGCAGGCTTAATTTCTAAACATTTTCCTATAATGGATAACTTTAGAACTTAAGTCACTGTTAGATTATGATAAAGTTAATTATACATATTATCATGTATTTTTATGCACTTGACACCCAAATCTCAAAATGCTGTTGGCACTGGATTTATTGGCATCATGGAGATTTTTTCACGTACATCCATTTGCTTATTTAATCATTATAATTATCATGTGAGGTGTTATTTCCTTTTAAAGAAAACAAACAAGCTTTAGGAGATTTTATATATATATAAATTTTTTTTTTTGGTACCGGGGCTCAAACTCAGGACTTTGCACTTGCAAGGCAGACACTGGAACCTCTGAGCTAAATCCCCAACCCAGGAGATCATATTTTATGCAAGGTTAGAGCTGGAATTTAAACTCAAAGAGTCTAATACCAGAATCTGCACCCTTAATCACTGAAAAATAAGTATATATTAACAAATTATATCCAGGAACTCATTGGCTTGAGCTAACTAATCATATCACTTGGGGGCCAGGGATTTAGCTCAGTGGTTCTTCTGCCTGCCCCACAAGTGCAAGGACCTGAGTTCGATCCTCGGTACCAAAAAAACCCAAACACAATCATATCACTTGGTTCAATTGACCACAGGTTTAAAGAAAATAGCTACTGGGTTGACATCATACCACTATTCAGTCAGATACAGGCTGTCTTATTTTTCCTTTTATGCATATATATTTTTATAGAAATAAATAAATTTAGAATGTGAAAATAATGACTCCTGTGAAATCTTTAGTTCCTTCTTAAAAGCATGTATATCTGGATGGAAGTAATTAATTCACCCTTAAGTCAGTATGGGTCATGTATTGTAAAATGTGACTATCTACTGTATCCATTTTGTAGAGAGAAGATATGACTTTCTCTTTATGTGTATGTCAAAATACTTATGAATTTATTGAAAGTGATGTGATAGCGATGCATGATATTGTGAGGCCTGCTAGTGAATTCATGCAGTGTATTATCTGGAGTTCAAAAGTTCTAGGATGAGCAACCGCAGTCAGCACTGCCCAGCCCCGTGAGGTGAAGCACCTTGGAGAATGAGAGCACAGGGCAACCTGCACATTTGCATAAATTAAAAGAAAAATGAAACACCAAGGACACAGAATGGATATAGAGTAAATGCAATGTCCCTCATGTGGTGATTCCACATTACGACAAGATTCAATTAGTTATTAACGTGGGGCAGGGCAAAGGGAGCTTCTGCATGCGAGTTACAGTTTATGGGTTTAGTGTGAAATTGCAGGCTGCTTTCCACATCACCTTGCCATGCATTTTCCAAAGGAAATATGCACATTGAGTACATGGACTTTAGAACACAGCTTCCATGTCAAGAGGCAGGCATACAGAAACTCCAATTTCAAATTCTCTAATGATGGCAAAACTGAGTGACCTCAGTGCTTATATTTAATTTTAAAAGTAGAATAGCCGGGCCGGGGATTTAGCTCCGTGGTTCCACCGTCTGGCACCTGCTTCGCAGGAGCAAAGACCTGAGTTCAATCTCCAATACCAAAAAAAAAAAAAAAAAAAAAAATAGAATAGCCAACTAATGAAACAATCAGCTTCTATGAATTCTAGGTTTCACGTGCTAATTTAGACATGATAATGAAGTATCTATATAGATTTAAATATTTGAATTTAAAATGGACTGTGTATGTGTGTGCACGTATGTTTATACACACCTACACAAGTATTATTTGAATCAAATTAAATTGGTATGGTTAGCGTTCAATGAATTGCCACTTGAATTTTGTTTACAAAAGCTTCTTTATACAACAAAATTGAATATGACTTTGTGCTTTGTGTCATGTACTTGAAAGTTACACAAATGATAACAAGTTCCATGTATTAAAATATAGAATCTATTTTCTTACTGCTATTCTCTGCCCACAGGTTGTATATAAAAATAATGATGTAAGGCTGGAATTATCACGACTTGCCAAACAAGGTGATCCTAAGATGAAGATCCACGGAGTGGTGGCATTTAAGTGTGAAAATGTTGCCACTTTAGACCCAATCACTTTTGAAACCCCAGAGTCTTTCATCTCTTTGCCTAAATGGAATGCAAAGAAGACAGGCTCCATATCATTTGACTTCCGTACAACAGAGCCAAATGGCCTGATCTTATTTAGCCATGGAAAGCCAAGACATCAGAAAGATGCCAAACATCCACAGATGATAAAGGTGGACTTCTTTGCTATTGAGATGCTGGATGGTCACCTCTACCTCCTCCTGGACATGGGGTCAGGTACCATCAAAATAAAAGCCCTGCAGAAGAAAGTGAATGATGGAGAATGGTATCATGTGGACTTCCAGAGAGATGGACGGTCAGGTAATTTATTATTTTTCTGTGCTAATTATCTTACTGACCATCTTGCATTCCTAAAAATTAAAACCAAGACATATTAAAGATTTTCTGCATTTCATTTTGGAGTAAAGAAAATTGTTATTGTTTCTGTTTAATATCATATAAAAATCTGAAAGAGCTAATTAATCATCAAAGTGAGCATCAAAACCCAAAAGCTCAAATGGATTCTAGAATAGCTTCTTAAGCAAACATTCATTGGGTAATCAACTGCCAAATCTTGCGAGAGATTTGATCTTGAATTTGAAAATGAGAAAATTCATGGCTCTTGTATTCTCAACTCTCTCTTATGTCTTTGGATGTTTGGAAATACTTCAACTGGCAAATATAAAATATGAAAACTACTAGAATGATCCACACATGTAATCCTCAGTTTGAAGTGGCATACTTTTACCCAGGGAGGACCTGTGGTATTGAAACCACTTTAATCAATAACGTAACATTCAAAGCTCTGCTGCCTTCCAAACGATGTTCCTAAAGGAAAGGTATTTGGCATTCTAGCAGCAGGAGCTTATTCCTCTCAGAGGGGAAGATGGAGATGGTGGCAGGGAAGATTTCCCTGAAGAAATAATGTTTACACTGAAATCTGAGAGTTGCTAAGGGGGATTAGAGTAGGAGCTTCAAAGGAAAAGAATCATACAGGCAGAGGAATTAACATTTGCGGAGGAGATCGTGAGAGAAAAAAGAAAGGGAGAGAGAGGGTAAAGAAAGGGAAAGAAGGGGAGAAGTAGAAAACACAATAGGAAAGATCTATTTAAAATATACAGCTATACATAATACTTCCTTAGTCTCTTTACTCAGTTTTCTGTCCATCTCATTCATATATCAAATTATTTTCTTATAATAGAAGACACTTGGATTTAGAACTCTGTTTATGCACACCCCACTTTTCTTTTTTCTCACTTTCTCATTTGCTTAAATACTATACCCTACACTAGATTTTCTACTAAAAACATTGTAAGGTTGGCTGAGACATATTTTTATGAGCTTGTGTTTCTTCATGTATAAAGCAATGATTAGGAAAGTCCCATCTCTAACCTAGTGAAGGAGAATCGACAATGATGGGACCGAAGATTCAGGATTCTTATAAAATTGTCCACATGACTCATGACTGATCCAACTTGGGACTACAGACCACATGCCATGTAGTTTCTGATTCCCATCCCCTTTCACAGGACCACACTGAAGTCCCGGACTGTTCTTCCCTCCTACCCTTCCCAAGCTCCCTTGACACTTACTTACTTCATGTCTCTCTGCAGTGGAACCATTTTCTATTTTCCTACTATTCATGCTTTTCCTCCTCTGTTTATTGACAGAAGATCGAGTTTATGTTTTTAGAACTATCTTTCTCATGTAATAAGTAAAAATGGAAAGTATAACTGGATGGGAGTTGGGGGTGAGGGTAGAGACAGAAGAAAGGTGAGAACTGAACTCATTCTTCATAAAGCTCAGATGTCTTAGAAATTCTATTTCTAATTCATTTCTTTCTGGAAATTTGGTCTCCTTAAATTTTCTCCTCTTCCTAAAAAAGTCTACAAGAACTTTTTCTGATTTAAGTTAAGAAGAGATCATTAATAAGAATTCAAGAATATAATACTAAGTGCAAGGACACGAGTTCGATCCCTAGTACCAAAAAAAGAAAAAAAGAATATAATACTAGAGTATGAATATCTCCCTCTGAGTTAACTTGCTACTTACAAACTTTCAAACAAAAGAGTTTGAAAAGAGGATAGGAGAATAGGCTAATTTGGTGTCTGGAAATATCAGCTTCTGGATGGTACAGTTTGATTTAAGACATATATACAATAAAATTTTGAAAATAACTTTTAAGAAGAAATAAATTTTATTTATTTATTTTTGATTTCATTGGTACATTTTAGGTATACAGTATAATGACATTCATCATTGGAAATTTGCACCTTAACATGATCAGTCTTAGTTCGTTTTTTTGGGCACCGGGGATCGAACTTGGGACTTTCTGCTTGTGAGGCAGACGACGAGCCACTGAGCTAAATTCCCAGGCCCTCACTCTTGGTTCTTATTTTTTCCCCATTCTCTGCCCTCCCTTCAACCCCTTCATCCCTCTCTATTTACAAAGATTTTGTTTCCACTTTTTCTTTTTCTCATATTAATTCCATTCCCTTCTTTCCTTTCCCCTATCTTTCCCACTTCCCCTTCCCCTTTGCCCTTTTCTTCCTATTTCACATTATCTATCATACCTTTTAGTCCTTATTTACACTTTCAGTTTCTCACACTAGAGAAACTGTTCAGTATTTACACGTGTGTCCTATTTATTTCACTTTAGAGTATCACCTCAATGTGCATCCATTTAGCTATAAATGTCTCTAATTTCTCATTTTTTATGGCTGAGTAGTACTCCATTTTATTT